TCATTTTATATGTACTATCTTTTTTTCACCAGAATGCTCTGTCGGTGTTGACACTTTTCCACATTTCATGAGCTGCGTCAATGGAAATACATTTCTAAGAGCAACATATTTGTGTAAGCCGGTTATGTAAAGCTGCTGCTGTTCCCCAATAGGACATTACTACACAGTGACACGAACATGTCACTGATAATCATCTATTATATCACTTACATTGAAATGCTAAAGCACGAGGCAAGGGTTGATTGACAGTCAGGGATTGTAGACGGACACCATCAGATTACATTAGAATAGCTCATGAAATAATTGATCTAGGTTTGAAGTCATTTCAGAAGGGTTCTTAGAATAACTTGAAGGTATATCATATCACATATACATGTTTAATTTTTAAATGGGAAAGTTGATTTTCTGATATGACGAACAGGTCTCATTGTTACATTTATATAACAGTATGAACATAACACACCAAGCATGTAATGAAAAAGTATTTTTCACTGCTATTTTCTTTTAAATACTAAACAAACATTATTTTTAACATATATTTAGTTAGAAAGAAAAATAATCTCACCTTTTATATTCTCAAAAATGGTTAATAATTCACATTTACAGTTTTTTTCAGTTGCTAACACAAAAATCTCACAAAGCAAGATAATTATTTAAATTCACACTCAAAGAGCAAAACCTCAGCTCATGTCTCCAAAACGCTAAACACATTTTCAGATCTGCACCCAATTTGCAATTCAACTTGGTACTTTTTGCAAAACACTGCAAAAGGTTCTCTAAGTAAGACACAGAAATCTGACATATTCACTCGTTTGCCATTTTCAAAACACTGCTATTAAAAATGCTACACACATGAACCAAATACACGTGCCAAATGGCCGTAAACACCAAAGTGCTTTACTGTTGACTCATCGATCAGGATGTAAGCACTAGAAAAAGGCTTCATGTAAGAAATGTATAAAAACAACAATGCATATATGGACAGCAGCAAGAGGACGAGGGAGGATGAGAGAGGGAAGTCTGAACGCTCTCAGTTTGTACGTGTCAACGATGAATCTTCCATGCAAACCAAAGTTAGCCATGGAGTGCCACAGGGCTCAGTGCTTGGACCTATTTTGTTCACACTATATATGCTGACTGCTCTCCGTTAGGGCAATATATGATAGGATCATTTCTGCTGTAAACTTCATCTGTTATGCGGATGATAAGCTCAAGACATAATATTTGAACCTCAATCAAGCCTGATGAAATATAACCATCTAAAATAAAATTCAAGGACTGGCCTCAAGGACTTGTAAAACGTGGATGAGCCTTCCCAACAGC